GCAGGAACCATTACTACAGTTAGGTTGGATGGTGCAAACTACTTGGAATGGTCACAATCTGCAAAGATGGCCATTGGGGCTCGTGGGAAATTAGGGTATATCACTGGTGAAGAGGTGAAATCCGAAACTAGCAACTCCCGGTGGGTGCAGGAAAATTATATGGTGACGACTTGGTTGTGTAATTCCATGTTGCCACATATAAGTAAAAATTTCTTATGGGCAAACACTGCTAAGGAAATATGGGATGGAGTTGCAGAAACCTATTCACAAAGGGAGAATGTTGCTAGGGCTTATCAATTGAGAAATCAGATTATTGCTACAAGGCAGGGAGATAGATCTGTTGCAGCCTATTTTTCAGCCCTTAAGACCCTGTGGCAGGAGATTGACCATTTGGAGACCTTTGATTGGGAAACCACCAAGGATGCAGCTACCTGTCAGAGACATTTAGAGAAGTATAGGGTGTTTGAATTCCTTGCTAGCCTTAACCCTGAGTATGATATTGCACGACAGCATCTTCTTTCTAGGGATAGTGTCACTCTCTCCCAAGCATATGCTTCTATGTAAGGGGAGGAGTGCAGGAGGGATGTGATGATAAAAACCCAAATTTCTGATCAGTCTGCCATGGTAAGTGCTGTGAAACCTAAACAAAGTGGCGGTGAAATCAAGAAGGAAGACAAAAGAGACTTGGTTTGTGACTACTGTAAGAAGCCTAAACATACGAGAGATACTTGCTGGAAGCTTCACCCACATCTTGTGCCGACTAGATTGAGAAATAAGAAGGGAAATGCGCACATGGAAGTTACCGATGACACTCCGGCCCCTCCTACTACAGCTACTTTGGAGTCTGTTGCAGCTGTTGCAGTAAGGGCCGAACTTGAGAGGTATGGGCTACTTCTGAACCAGCGGGATACAGCTAGTTCCAGTTCAGCCGCAAGCGGACAACAAGGTACAAGTGGCACTGGTGGAACTCACTCTACCTCCTTTGCTCACACAGGTAGTTCACACGTCACTGCACTTCAGGTAAGGAGGGACCTCCTTGGATTATAGATTCTAGAACCTCAGAGCACATGACCCATAGCTCCATTATTTTTTCCTCTTACCAGCTCTGTTCTGGCAGAGATAGGGTCTCCACTGCTGATGGATCCCATGTTCCTATTGCTGGGAAGGGATCTAATGATTCTATTTGTTTACCCTCTGTCCTTCATGTTCCCAGACTGAGCACAAATTTGTTATTTGTTAGTAGTTTGACTAAGAATTTGAACTRCTCAGTAATTTTTTCTCCTGGACGTTGTATTTTGCAGGATCTGGATTCAAAGAGGATGATTGGGAGTGGTCGTGAAGTGAATGGAATCTACCTCCTAGATGTTCCCCCTCATCAGAGTCATCAAGTTAACAGGGACAGTGAGTCAGATTATGCTTTGGCATAATCGTTTGGGCCATTTGTATTTTTCTTCTTTGAGTTCTTTGTTTCCAAAACTTTTTGAGTATGTTAGCCTGTCAAGTCTAGAGTGTGAAGGTTGTCAACTTGGAAAGCATTGTAGACATTCTTTTAAGCCTAGTAATAAAAGATGTTCTTCTTTTGATGTTATTCATTCGGATGTGTGGGGTCCTTACCATGTTCCTTCTATGGGAGGCTATCGCTATTTTCTCCTATTTGTGGATGATTTCTCTCGATACTCTTGGATTTACCTGATGAAATCCTGCGATGAAGTACCACCCTTGGTGCGGCAATTTCATCAAATGGTAGTGTTCAGATCTGACAATGCTAGGGAATATTTTGAAAGACATCTTGCCTCGTACTTGTTAGAATATGGTGTTGTCCATCAGAGCAGCTACTCCTATAGTCCACAACAGAATGGTGTTGCAGAAAGGAAGAACAAACACATTGTTGAGACCGCAAGAAGCATGATGATCACATCTACAGTTCCGGTTCGGTTTTGGGGTGATGCAGTTCTCATAGCAGTATATCTGATTAACAGGGTGCCTTCTCGTATACTTGGATTCAGCACTCCATTCAGCCTTCTTTTTCCTCAGGGGGAGATGTTTCATGTTCCTCTCAAGGTGTTTGGGTGTGTCTGCTTTGCACACATCCTTGGTCCTCACCGCTCGAAGCTTGATCCCAAGGCAAAGAAGTGTGTCTTCCTTGGATATGCAAAGAATCAGAAAGGGTACCGCTGCTATGATCCAATCTCTGGGAACCGATATGTTACCATGGATGTCACCTTTTTTGAATCCACGTACTTCTTCTCAAAGAATCCTTTTTAGGGAGAGTGTTTTGGGGAAGTAAGTTAGCAGTCTATCCCTCTCCCAGTTCCAGTCCCTGTGTCACTTCCTATGCTTGACCACCACCCGATGCCACATCCTTTGCGCTCTGTTTCTCAGCATTACTCACGACAGAGACTTCACAAGGCGGTTGATTCCACTACAGCAGAACTCACACCACTTCCTGTCGATCCCTTGGAGACTCCAGATTCGGCTGATATGGATTCAAGTATTCCTCTTGATCCCGCTACTATTTCAGTTCCCATTGATCCTACTAACTCTGTTACCGATAACCTTGATCTCCCTATTGCTCTTAGAAAAGGGAAGAGAAAATGTATTGCTCATTGTATTTCATAGTACTTATCCTACAGTGGACTTTCTCCTTCCTACCGTGCTTTTCTCTTTTCTCTTGATTCAGTGTCTATACCCAAAGGTGTTAGTGAGGCTCTCTCCAAACCTGAATGGAAGACAGCTATGCAGGAAGAGATGAAAACTTTGATTAAGAATCAAACATGGGACATTGTGGACCTACCAGAAGGCAATGAGACAGTTGGATGCAGATGGGTTTACACAGTAAAATATAAGGCAGATGGAAGTATAGAGAGGTACAAGGAAAGACTTGTCGCAAAAGGATACACACAGACCTATGGCATTGATTATTTAGAGACCTTTGTGCCAGTTGCAAAKATGACCTCYGTTCGGATRCTCMTTTCCCTTGCTGCCTCATACTCTTGGCCCTTGTTTCAACTGGATGCGAAGAATGCTTTCCTAAATGGGGATCTGCAAGAAGAAGTGTATATGGATCTTCCTACTGGTTTCTACAATGATACTAAAAAGGGAAAAGTATGCAGGTTTAAGAAGTCACTATATGGCTTGAAACAATCTCCCAGAGCATGGTTTGACAAATTCAGAAAGGCCTTGATTGATTTTGGCTACACTCAAACTCAATCCGATCACACTTTGTTTGTGAAGCGCACGGGATCTTTGGTGTCAGTCCTAATTATTTATGTGGATGATATTGTTGTCATTGGGAATGATCTGAGTGAGATTGATAGTCTGAAGAGGAACCTACATAAGGAATTTGAGATTAAGGATCTTGGAGAACTGAGATACTTCTTAGGCATCGAAGTTGCAAGTTCGAAACATGGAATTTTTATCTCTCAAAGGAAGTATGTCTTGGACCTTCTTCAAGAGACAAGGAAGCTTGGAACAAAGTCAATTAGCACCCCTATTGATYAAAACCATAAAATCAGTGCAACAGAAGGTGAACCAGTAAAGGACATTKGGAGATATCAGAGACTTGTGGGTCGGCTGCTATACTTGTGTATGACAAGACCAGACATCTCCTATGCAATGAGTGTAGTAAGTCAATACATGCATGCCCCACGAGTCCAGCATTGGGAGG